TATTATTATAATGTGTGTTATTACTATTATTATTATTATTATTATTATTATTATTATTATGGAAAATAATCATCCAGGCCAAACAGTAAGTCATAGACACATGATACTTGATCAGTAGCTCATACTGTTATGGATGCTACAGATAAAAAATGTTGACCATATACAATAAATGACCAATATTTTCTGATTGCACTGTTAGTTTTTTTTATGAAAGTTGGTAAATATAATTAACAGGACACTCTAAGGTGACAAAAAAAGAAATTCTAATTCATAAACAGCTTATAAACAGCTACCCAGCAAACTCAACTGCCTCAACAGGCAATGAAACTTCAACAGCCAGTAATTACCCTTATGAATAGGTGAGCATGAAGAAATTTTGTAAGTGGAGGAAGAGGAATTTGTGATGTGATTGATTACCAAATTAAATTTTTTGAAAAAATTAAATTTTAAAAAATTCTGCCTCATGAGTTGAGTTTGAGGAGGCTCAGCAAGTTTGGAGCATGTGTGTCATGTATGCATAAAGTAGTGCTTGGCCCCCGATGATTGCTCCTTGTGGTATTGATTTATTGTTACACAGAAGTGGAGAGCAGTGTGTGTCACCCATTAAGCAGCTGCATGTGCAATGTGCATAGGCTTTAATGCAATTCAGAATTCAAGAAAAAGAGAAGTGCGCATGGACACACCTCATACTCAAATCTGCCCCTGAGCAGCAAAGGGGATCTACTAAAGCCTCTTAAAGAGAAGAACAAAAGCCAAGGCACAATGCGGTCAACTGCTGATATTCATCTGATGTTGATCAAAGGTCGACAATCAGCTTAGAACACCATGCCCATCAGGATAGAAATGTTTCATCACAGGATAAAGGTGACCTCCTAGAAGAACTTTGGATTGATTTGTAGTGACCCTTCCCTCCAAAAGGATAGATGGAACCAAACCATGCTAGCAAAAATAAAACAAATTGAATGCTGTGTGTTAATTGATGTGAATAGCTGTGGCAAGGTTAACTGAACACAATTTTAAGAAACATTAATATAATAATGGTGTTATTTCTTCTTCAAATAGTGGAAACCGCTTCTGCAAATTTAATACCTGCCTTTCAGTAAGTACTGTTACACATTACATGATACATTTCCATCCGGAAGTTAATCTGTTTGCAATTGATGCCCTGCATTTTTTTTTCACTTTTTCACAAAACAGACTGGATAAAAAGATTAGTCACGTGTCATTTCTTTCAAGGCATCAAGTTGCGCTTTGGGGTTCTGGTCAGGTTTAATTGAATTTATCTGAATATAGCGAGTGGAGTAAATCAGGGAGGCTGTTCAGGGACCTGCAGAAACAGAAGCCAGGAGAACCGTAGCAGGTTCTCCATGATGCAGGAAAAACTTACCAGCTGATCTCTTTATCAAACTGCACTAATGTACCTGAAAGAACTGATACGCTTTTGAAGTACATGGGGTCACACCAAATCTTGATTTATTTACTGTTAAAAAACATTAGATTTTTTTAGTTTAGTGTTTTTTTTATAGTACTTTTTTCTTTTTTGTATAGTTAGAAATTTTTAAAGCCACTTTTGAATTTTTTGAATGGTAGAAACCAGATTCCAACCAAACTTTATGTACATGGTAAATCATAGGTAATCTTCTGTTGGATCTAATTGTTGGTTTCCTGCGACTCTGGATAGAGGCTCTGGAGCATCTGGACAGTTTCAGCATGACATATATTTGCTCTCAGCTCTTTCTTTTGATTTGAATTAACAGCAACTGACAAATAGGAGCTTGCTCTTTCTGGCAACAGACCCATCATGATGGTGGACATTTGTGAAGCATGCCGAGAAGATGGATATGTACAACAGAGAGGCTGTTTAGCTTCAAGGAAATTTGGAATATGAAATATGAAAACTTAATACCACTTAAAAGCTATAGGATATTTTACAACAAAATATGGTCCAAAATCGTAACCATCACTGAATCTCATTATAGGACAATGATTGCAGATCTTTCAGGTCCACACCAACATGGTGTCACAGTTCAAAATATAGAAGTATATCGATTAAGGCCAGGGCCTTACATTTTCTTGGGTGTCATTTTCAACACTAAATGTAAGTATCATATAAAAATATGGCATGTTGTTCTTTAATAAATAAACCACAGTATTTTACAGTAACAGCACCATACCCAAGTTTAACATTGATTGTACATTGCTCTTATTCTTAAGTCTAAGTGTAGGAGTAAATATCCTGCTTTCTAAAGCCAAAATTTTACTATCAGAGGTTTTACAGCCACCAACCCAAGTTTAAAGGGCATACAGGTTTTGCTACAACTTCATTTCTCATATGTCCATTGAAATATCTTTTCATAATACCTTCAAATTTGGCATGAGTTTGGCTTGTTTCACACATAAATAACTCACAGACCATAATGGACATTGTGCTGTTATCTCAGTCCCCTGACGTCAATCCCAATGACAAAACAGTTTTTTGCATTTCTTGGATACTGCAGCCACAAATGCGTACATCCTGCTGAACAGACTTTTATCACAACAACAGGAAACCCACAAAACGTTCACGGAGGAGCGACACAGCTCTGTGGTACACCACATTAGATCACTTCAAAGCAAGCCAGCTATCGTGAAATGATATCATGACCCGAGTCCAGATGGCAAAAAAGTTGCAATAGGATCTATGAATTTGGTTTCACAAAGAGCTACTATATCAGGTGCCTTAAAGAGAAAGCTTTACATGAACATGAAAGAGAAAGCTTTACAAGAACATGAAACATGAATGCACAGACAGGAAAGACGTACACATAGGGCCCTATGCAGAGTTGAGGTCAGTGTGAAGGTCATCAGAGGAGATACATCTTAATGAGAGAGTTATCCCAAGGAGCCAGTTTTTAAGGATAAAATCATGTATTACATTAAATGAGCTGTAAGCGTAGCAGATGAGTCTCAGCTCGGTCTGCTTATGGGAGCTTAAAAGTAGTATCGATGTTATATATTGTGTTTGGCACCATCTGAACTGGACCTCTGACATGGAGCAAAGCAACAGCACCTCTATGTCTGAAGCCATGGTTTCCTCTCAGAAAAGTCAGGTGAGGGGTGAGACCTTGCCCCTGGTGGAGAAGCTTAAGTATCTTGGGATCGTATTCAAAAAGACAGTGTGAGATTGACAAATAGATCAAGTCAGCAGTGTTACAGTCATTGTACCAGTCTGTGGTGGTGAAGCAGGAGCTCATCCTGCAGATGAAGTTCTCTGTTTACCGGTCTACATCCCTGCCCCTGGTCTTTAGTTATGGTTTGGGCTCCTTAGTTCCATTGGAGGGAAGTCTTAATGTTACAGCATTTAAAGACATTCTAGACAATTCTGTGCTTCCAACTTTGTGGCAACAGTTTGGGGAAGGCCCACATATGGGTGTGATGGTCAGCTGTCCACATACTTTTGCTCATATAGTGTATCTCACAGTTGGCTTGGGAACATCTGGGGATCCTGCAAGAGGAGCTAGAATCTGTGTCCAGAGATAGAGAAGTCTGTGCTGACCTTCTCAGCATGTTGCCACCGTGACCCCCACCCAGGGCAAGCAGAAGGAAAATGAATAAATGAATGAAGATCCTATAGTTATTTTAGTAAAACTGTTGACCCAAAATTATTGGTTGCACAGTACTATGAAGTGATATGTACCACACACTTACACTCACCCAATTAATAGCAGAAGACTTTCTTTTTGCTCTTTTATCATGGTTTATTATGTGATTTATGTGTACATATGTGCAGTGCAACAAGAAAATGTGGTTTACCATGCCTATTCAGCATCAGTGGAAAGTAGCAGAAGACATTCATAAAGAATTGGGAGACATCTGTAGTCTATAGCAAGCTGATGGATTCCGGTGAAATTTGACTCTAACTGTGATTCAGAAAACCAGACTGTCCTTTGTGAAGGTTATAGAGGCTTTTACTGTAATGACTCATCACCAGTACATGATGTTTGGCTAATAAACTCGATTGATTAGATTGAATTTGGAGTCAGGATTATAACCTGAGACTGAACGTGCAGAGGATCATCTGGTTTCCTTATTCATTTACTGAGAGATATTCAGACAGCAGAATAAATTAAAGGACTGTTAATGTTTATGTAATCTCTGTGTTGTACCTCAGGCATCTGGTAGCTGTGTATAGAAACCGTGAAGAAGTTCTTTTCAGATGTTCCTCTTTAAACCCATCTATATGAAATATGAACATGCGAATTATAGCGTACTGGCTAACAGCTGCTCCCTAATGTGTGTGCATCCGGCCAGATGACAATATTATGATCTTCAGTCCCCAATTGTTTGATGTACTTGACAGTTCCCAGGAGTGGTGTGTGTTAAACTGACGTCTCAATTTGGAACAGTTTCACTGTGGAACTTAAGAGAGACTTCAGACCCATCACAGTTCCCATTTACTGTGGAAGATGGAAGAAAAACTTATAACCATGGTTTCATCTTGTCCTGTCATTAAATCACCTTGGCCTCACATTAAATGTGTACATTATGACAAGCAATAAAGCTTTGAAGGAAGGAGCAGAGATCATTGGTAGCTACCTAGCTAATAAACTTAGCTTGCTTTGCTAATATGCCAACAAAGCTAGTAGAAATACAAATTATATAGTGGGTTGTAGGCTATATATTTTGGCTCAGATTTTTCTAAGGAATGACTAAGGAAGGACTAAGGAATGGGGAAAAACGCTGGACAGAACATGCCCACAGGTGACAAATTAACAATTGCTACATAGCCACAACTACAAGAGACACGAGTAACTGGCGCCTTGCTAGCGTACTAGTAGGATTAGCAGAACTTTTACTAAATATTACAGTTCTAGGAATGTTCAATCTGTCAAGTTCTGAGGACTTATTTTCATCATGTTTCTATAATGTTAGTTTTCGTCTAACTGCTAACCATTATTATAGTAGATGTTTTTAGAACAAGAACGTTATTTTTGGAACCTTTCATCCATACCTTCTTCGGGTCCCTGGAGGACTAGTGGTTAGGCCTCGGTGCTCTCACTGCCGTGGCGAGGGTTCAATTCCTGGGCTGGGGAACTGACCCCAGTTACTGGGGTTGCACAAGGCGGTACACTCCCAGTGCTGGTCCCAAACCTGGATAAAATTGGGGAGGGTTGGGTCAGGAAGGGTATCCGGCATAAAAACTGTACCAAATCAAATATGCGGATCAATGATCTGCTGTGATGACCCCTAATGGGAGCAGCTGAAAGAACAACAACAACATCCATGCCTTCTTCATTGTTCCTCTTTCAGCTGCTCCTGTTAGGGGTTGCTACCATGGATCATTGGTCTGCATATTTGATTTGGCACAGTTTTTATGTCGGATGCCCTTCCTGATGGACCCTCCCAAATTTTATCTGGGCTTGGGACCGGCACTGAGAGCGCACTGTTGCACATAACCCCAGTGGCTGGGGTTGGTTCCCCACCAGGAATCGAACCAGGGCAATGGCACTGAGAGCGCTGTGGCCTAACCACTGGTCCTCCAGGGACCTGCCATACCTTCTTCATTAATTCTTGCACATGTTTCTACATTTCGAGCTCAGCTTTCAACCAAGCTATATATTTCTGCAGTCCAATTTTCAAATGTTTACATGTCTTTTTTAAAACTGATCAAATATGTGTATTAACTACATAACAAATGCTATATTGAATTTATATTAAATTAAAAAGTTAAAACATTTACACAGACAAAGAATAAAAGGTGACAGGAAGCGGTTAACATTGCTGTACAGCGTTATGCCGTGCGTAAGTATTCCCCCCCCCCATGGAACTTTTCCATATTTTGTAGTCTTAGATGATGAAACAGAACAAACAATGCAGATCAGTTGTGATCGCATGAGACAACAAAATATTTCCCTGTCACACGTCCTTCCAATGTATTGAACAAGCATGGAAGAGATGAAAAATTCATACTAATGGTTCATGATCCGTCATCCCCCCTCCGGATGATGCTTGTGAATTAATTATACATGCAAAGATTTTTTTTTTCCTGCATATAGAGCAGTTTTCTCCTCCTATAGCAAGTTATCCACAATCTTTAGTAACAGCATGAAAAAAAATTAACAAGGAAATTATTAAGTTATCAAATGTAAAAACTGTAAATCTGTAACAAGTGAAATTCATTCCTCAGCTACACGATGAAATCTGAAAGATATTCAAACTGGTCAGTTCTGGCTAAAGAGGGAAAATAAGCAGACATATACTGACAAAATAAGCAGACATATACCCATATTATGGATGTTATATCTCACCATTGGAATGAAAGTAGTTAAGCTAATAAAACATTTAAAATGTTCCTTTTAACTATAGCTTTAAATTGGAGTGAATGAAAGTTCACCTGCATGATTGACTGTTATCAAAGAAGTGTTTAAGTCTAAGCCAGGGTGAAATTATGCCATTGAAAAAAAATAGACTTTAATCACAGGAATACATCAGACAGACAGGTTTTAACACATGGCAGCCAGAGGCAATTGGACGTCTTTTTATTTAGGATTTTCTCAGAATAAAGTCAATGCCTAGAACTAAGAAAAAAGGGGGAAAAAGGTAATGAGGAAGCTATGAACGCTGCAAAACACTGAATCTAAAAAACATGCAGGAATATACATAATTATACATAAAGGCACAGAGTGGGATTACAAAAGAACAATGTAGACATGACATCTGGGATCTTCAGGGTCCAGGGTGGAGCTGGAATGGAGCAGGATCGCTTTGTGATTGTGGTATTTTCTGGAACTCAGCCAGTGTTTTTGGAAATATGATTACGGATTTGCTCCAGTTCACTTTGTCTGAGGTTTTTGTGCAACACACCAGCCACCAGTCTCAGGTTTTTGAACCTTGGATGGCTGGGTTTCATGAAGGGTCAAAAAGACTGAGGGACAGAAGTAGCGCAAAAAAATGGCAACTTGAACTTCAGTGGCTGGGAAATGCATAGAACATAGTTCCTGTTTAGTTTATTAAGGCTGTTGCTCATTGCACAACCTGTGGTTAGCACACGCCTACTACACTACATGAGCTGTGTGAAGAGCAAACTGAGGTGTAGAAGCTGCTGTGAAGTGGTCTTACTGTGTGATCATGTTAAAGTGCATTTCAACATATTATGCCCCGAAACTGCATGTGAACTCAGTTGATGTGGCATCATGTGAACAATGTGTGAAAATGAATCATAAGAAAAAATCACATGTGAAAATAAATGAATCATATGAAAAAAATCACATGAGAAATGAATGAATCATGTGTAAAAATCACGTAAGAAATGAATGAATCGTGTAAAAATCACGTAAGAAATGAATGAATCAAGTGTAAAAATCATGTAAGAAATCAGTGAATCGTGTGTAAAAATCACATGAGAAATGAATCGTGTGTAAAAATCACATAAGAAATGAATGAATCGTGTAAAAATAATGTAAGAAATGAATGAATCAGGTGTAAAAATCAATCACGTAAGAAATCAATTAATCATGTAAAAATTATGTAAAAATGAATGAATCAGGTGTAAAAATCGCGTAAGAAATGAATGAATCAGGTGTAAAAATCACGTAAGAAATGAATGAATCGTGTAAAAATCATGTAAGAAATCAGTGAATCGTGTGTAAAAATCACATGAGAAATGAATGAATCGTGTAAAAATCATGTAAGAAATGAATTAATGATGTAAAAATTATGTAAAAATGAATGAATCAGGTGTAAAAATCATGTAAGAAATGAATTAATTGTGCAAGTATTGTGATATGATATTTTTATCATATCACCCACCCCTAGTCAGAACTTGACTCTTAGCATATGTTTTATTCTGGGATACTTAGTCGGACTCCCCTGTAGGTCTCTCTTCCCATGAGCTGTAAGAACACAGTGGTTCTCTCGGCTTTATCACCACAGTAAAGTGAGCGCTGGAACGGAAACCTGTTTAAAGCCTCTGGGTGGGAGAGAGGACAGGCGCTGTTCTAACCTCATTACACTGTCTCTGTGCCCACAGCTCCATTCCTAACATAAATTCACTCGCTTCATCAATGCGCTCCTGTAACATGACACCCCAAGGTGAACCAAGGACAATCTGTAGGCATATGGAGATATTACAAATGACTGGGAAATGGTTGAAAGAAGAAACCAGGGCCATCAATGATGTCTGTGTAAGCCTACTAACTACACTGGAACTGTCCACTTAGTATAAAGTGTAACTTCCTATAGATAATAGAATAAAATGAATCCCTTTGATTTTGTCAAGGTTGCATGTTATGTAAGTAATAAACCACTATACAGTGCCAATATTTACAGATTTGTGTGCGAACTTGAAAATACCTGCAAAAAGCTGGTTTCCTAACGTGGGCTACGATGGACTGCAGCTTAAAAAAAAAAAAAAAAAAAAGTGTTGTCCAGTTTTGTGTTTAAACAATCGGGGAGAGTGGGGTCTGCTGTAACACTATCAGCTGGTCCAATTGATTCTGCTCGCAAAATTGCAAAAGCAACAACTTTATGCCAACTCTGAGAACTTTAAGTCAAAAGTCAGATTTTGCCTGAGAGTATGAAAATAATTTTCTTATAATCAAATAATCAAAAAAATCATCAAAAAAATCATAATAAGCAAAGCATGTGTAGGACAAATTCTAGAAAATAGGCACATGAACGCACTGGAAAACTGGCATTTATTGACACTGATAAATCTTCATACAAATTCTAAATCAGGAATAGGAAAATAATCAACTTCAGGAATGTTTTTATATATATTTATTATACAATATGTTAAAATTTGCTGTATGTAGTATTTCTATGGCAATATGCTTCTGTTGTGTAACAGCAGCCTGGTTCAGGATAGGTGGGAGGAAGGAGTGGCCTGTAAAAAAAAAAAAAAAGCTGTATTCAGTTGTTCGACCTGTTCTGAGGCTGATTCCTGGAAAGACCTCAATGAAGCAACTACGCCGCCGCCTCAGGCTCCCACGTGCTTGCATGGCTCACTGAGTTGTCGAGTGGCCTGTACCATTCTAATACACACACAGCATGCTACAACCTATCCTTCAGTCCTTCAGCCTGGGAACAGCAGTGTAAATCTGTTTACTGAGTGCATGCCTAATACACCGCATCGCTATGCTGCAATTCAAATTCTTTCCCATCCGAGAGATCTGTCAATTACAAACAATAAAAAAAAAATCATCAGGGGAAGGAAGGAGGAAAGATTACACTGGGAAACTCCTGATCTCTTGGCTTTTTATAAGCATACTTAGAAGAATTATGTATCATTAGGGGCTTATTTGGATGCTCGTAACTTTAGTACAACATTTATTGCAACATATCGCACCAAGGCACGGTTTTAAAAAGCTTGGAATGATTGACAGTTGTGTAAGTGTTTGGAACTCTCAGATATTAACTGGCTCTCTGGAAGCTCCGCCCCCTTTCCCCTATCTCGCATTAGATTAGTAACGTTTCAGCCGGTGCTCTTGTCTCGACTCAATTTTCCAGCTTGAAATATGCACTATGAAATATGACGCAGCACCCTTGCTTTCTGTAACTGTAAACGGAGGAAGTTTTAAGTTCATTAACATGAAATAATGTCATGTTTCACTTAGCTAACATTCCTAGGCAAGTACATAGTTAATAGCAGTTTATTTCATTTATTAGGAATGGCAAGAGAAATTTAATATTTTCAAAATTTTGACTTAAAAAAAGATAGGTCTACAACCAAGTATCACTTTATGAATAATTTTGATGTTAATGATAATTTGAAAGTGATTAAAATTGCTGTTTGCTCTCCTGCACTGGTCAGTGGAGATGCATTCGAAAAGTGTGGTCAAGCCAGTCACGGTAGAAACTGGATTGTGCATATATACAGGGTTTTATGGTAACCACCAGTCACTTTCTTATTATTTGCTGTACGTAATGTGCATCTAAACTTTTCTCATGTCTACATCTTAACTAAAACAGAAGAGTGGCAGCTTTTTACCACCCAAGCGCCTGGTGGTTACCATAAAACCCTGTATATATGCACACTTTAGTTTCTGCCTTAGTCAAGTAAACAAACATATCCTTTATGAAAATTTCCTTCCTTTGTTAAACAAGCCCTTCCTCAGCAACACTACATGTTATTCCTCTTTAGGGCTGGCAGGTCTGTATTGGCTATGTATAATGATCATTTTCACAAGGCTAAGAATTTATTAGACCAGTAATATATGATTAGTCGACAATCACTTCATTCGAATATTACTAAGTACAGCACAGAAATTTCATTTACATTTCACAGACACAGACATGAGGGCACCCTGGGACATAAGGCAGCCAGCCACTCCACCATCAACAAAGCTGAGTGAACGCATGAGAATGGGGGGGGGCACCAGCATCAAAACATCTCAGTTCACCACAACACTCGTTGCTCGTGAACCCTCCAGCTCTTGAAAGGCTGTTCCATAATGGTGGGGCTTTGTAAGAGAAAGCTGTACCCCCTTCACTATTCGAGGTACCAACAAGTAGCCTGCACCTTTAGATCGAAGTAGGCGTGGCGGAT